ATAGAAAGAAAAAAAATGAAATAAAGAATAATAATAAAAAACAAAACAAGTTAAATATATACAAGAATATGCACATCTGGCAGAAGTAAAATGGAAAACATGGAGAAATGGGGAACAAAGTGTGAGATTTCCCTCTGAAATGTTGTGGAGTGTAAATATAGAGCAGCATTAAAATAAGATGCTGAAGTAACGCAGGTTGCCTCGAAGGGATCCCACTGCGGTTACGGACTTTGACGCAACCTGGCAACCTCCGCATCCTCAGCGCTCTTTCTACGTCCGGCCGCACGTCGCGCTGCTCGGCATCAAACACAGACATCATGGCGGACGTGTTGGACCTTCATGAAGCGGGAGGCGAGGACTTTCCTATGGATGAGGATGGCGATGGTAGGATTAATGTCTGTACCACTAGTGGCAGCTGATTCGTAATCCCTGCGGCCAAAGAAACAGAAAATATTGAGGCGTGTGTCGCATTTATTTAACCGAAATGCGACAAGAGCCGCGACTGCGTGGTAGCAGGCCCGAGAGATGCTAACAAGCTAATGCTCGGCTAACAGCACACTGTCTGTTCATTCAATGCAAGTTAGCCAAGTTAGCTGTGGTTACCAAAACCTTTAAAGGCCACTTGTTGAAACCACTTTTATCGTGGAAAATGTGTCTATGAACATGTTTAAAAGCTAACGTAACCTGTCAGTAATTACATAAAATATAATATAAACCGCACTCCGTGTGTTATTAGCCGCTGCTAGCGCGCAAATTCCTGTTAGCATATGTTTTAACCAAAAACTACACACTTCGCACAAGTTTTATTTATTTTAAGCATTTTGAAGTCTCACACCTGTGACGAGGACATTAAATCTGTCCGTTTAAAGTTGGTGGCTAGCTAGTTGGTGGCTAGCTAGCAGGCTGTGAGGAGAGAAGCTGCAGCAGAATGCTCAGCCTGTGACCTGTTGCTTTGTGGTTCCTCAGAGAGCATCCACAAGCTGAAGGAGAAGGCCAAGAAGAGGAAAGGACGAGGCTTTGGCTCAGGTGAGTCCCCCCTGCTGTGATGGGGGTACATGCAGTCCTCTATTAAGGGCAGTTGAACTATTTTCTTATTGGTAAAGTGTCTAATCTCCCACCTTAGCTTTGTCATAGACTGCAGGGCTTCATTTTTTCACCTTGATATTTCCAGAGGAAGGAGCCAGGTCCAGAACCAAGGAGGACTACGATACAGTGGAACAAGACGGGGATGAGCCAGGACCTCAGAGATGTAAGTACCACAGGTTATATTGAAGTTGTAAAGTCTGTTACAGTTGTAAATTCCCTCAGGTATTTCTCAGGATACAGCTGTCTGCAGAGGTCTGGGCTAACTGCATACTGGTGGCTACTGAAGTGAAAAGAAGGGACCACAAACCCTGCAGCACACTGACTTACATATTGGAGATATGTCAGGATGTCTTGCAGGCAGAGCAGGTGTCAGGTCTACCAGAGATCACCAGTGGTGCTCAGGGGAAAGTGAGGGCAACAGCAAAGGCTTAAACGTGCATTTCTTGAGGTGATTCATGGCAGATTGTGAGGTATGCTTGTGGTGATTGTCCTGTTGTAGATATATGCGGTGTTTCCCATCCTGCTGGTGGCACAGAGCCTTCAAGCAGTGCTTCACACCTGACAAGGTGTTTTTATTTAATGCCGCTCAATTTTTTTCCTACTAAATACAGTTACTGACTCCATCCACAGAGCTCAGCTTTACCTCAGTCTGCCACAGCCACAGCTTCCTGAACCACTCTGACATGTTCAGTGTTGCTTTGCAGACTTCAGACACCGACTGTTGAGGGAGGGTGAAGTCATGGTTTGGGTTTTCTTCAGCTTTTCCACATATCATCTGACTTAGCTTTTGGACAGATTGAAAGCTGGACATGATGTCTCTCTACATCTCTTTGCTCTGCTTCATGAGAATCCGTTAACTTTATTTACTCTGTTGTTCTGGAAACAGGAGCCCATCCTTGTTGTGTGTTACCACAAAGTTTGAAGGCATCAAACCCTGTAATTGTTATCGAGGCAACTTGTAATGACAGCAGATATTATTCAAACAGGCATTTTGGCTTGTCACAGCAGGAAAAGCACAAGTGTGATGGATAGCCTTCACTGAAGCCTTTATTTATGCAGGAAAAGCCCCGATGAGAGCAGATACTCTCTTTTTCATGGGTGCCCTGTAAGCATGACAATAAGCAAAAACACATTTTCAGCTATTACTAAAATAAAGAATAAATACAGAATAAAATACAAAGAATAGATATTTACACAGACACACACTCTCACGTACAGAATAAACAATCACAAGTTAGAGAAAGTGTACAAGTTAAAATTAAAGAAAACTATAAAATCTTGGGCCCCAGTTTGATGTGAAGTTGATCTAAAATTAAAAAGTCAAGTAAGATATTCAGGTAATTTTCCTACCAATGCTTTGCAGATGAATAAAATGCATTGTTCAAGTGGTAAATAGAAATGCACTGATACCATTAAAGACAACTGCCTTCCACCTCGGTGGTCCAGCTTCGGGGCTCTTTGGTGCATCCTGGCTCAGTGGCCTGACTTAAACCTGGGTTACATTCCCTCACGGATGAGCTGGATAAACGACTGCAGGCACCGCTGGCTTGTAGTTGTTCTGATTCTAGTAATTCTCGTCCATTATTAGGATGTGGTCGGTAGTTTGGTGTCATTATGAGCATGCATACGACTGTTGACCATCACTGGTCAGAGGGTTTAGACTATTGCAGACTATCGCAGACTATCGCAGACTCGAACAAATGGCAAAAACATTGATCCCTCTGACCCTCGTGTACTGGTACAGAACTGCACTGGCCTTACTGGGAGGCTGTGATGAGGTATGTTTTGATGTACTGGATGAATCTATTGAGGCCTGATGTTACTGGAGGTCTGAGACTTTGTTGGCCAGATTTTACACCTGACACGGTTCCTTCTTGACAACGTTCAGCAGTATAGCAACATCTGAAGAAAGCTCTTTTAATGTCACTTGTAGGGATTGTATTTACCACTTTACCTTCAGAATTCAGCACAGTATTTATCATACCAGGGAACCTCTAACATGGCGAGGCTGTCTCTGTTGTTTCACAGCTTGGTTGGTGTGCAGCACATCTCAGAAACAGTAATGAAGTCTGTCTGTAGTGCAAGTGGTGCTGTGTTTTTCTCCCATTCACACATCCCAACAAGGCTTCAAAAGATGTGCACACAAACCCCCCACAGGATGAAAATGTTCTGCTGGCTGCAAGATACAGAAAGAAAAAGAAAGAAAGAAAAGAGTTTGATCTTTTTGCAGGTTGTGCTGTGTCAGCGCATGAGAGGCACAAGCTTGGGATGAGAGGGTTTTATTTTGGTTCCTAGTTGAAGGTGCTGCTCGGTTCGGTGTTTGATCCCTGATGCCTTTTGTCACTGCAGCTGTGGAGGGATGGATCCTGTTTGTGACAGGAGTACACGAGGAGGCCACAGAGGAAGACATCCACGACAAGTTCTCAGAGTTTGGAGAAATCAAGAACCTGCATCTCAACCTGGATCGTAGAACGGGCTACCTCAAGGTGAGACGCATACCTATCTACCACCAATACGACTGCAGCAGATAACTGATTAGTTGTCAACTTTTACATTGATTACCAACTATTTTAATAACTAATTAACTGGTCTGGGTGATTTTAAAAAGGTGTAAATTCACAGGTTGTGAATAGTTCCTGGTTTCTTTCACTCCTCTGTGACGGTAAACTGAATATCTTTGACAAAATACGAAATTAGAAGACGTCGGCTTCAGGAAACACTGATGATCATTGTTTGTCCATTTATATATCAAACAAATGACTGTTTGAGAAGCTAGTCGACAAACTTGATGATGAAGATTATAATTTAAACTGTTTAGTTTTAGGGACACAGTGTTTTCTTGCACTTTCATATGAACATAGATAGAGCGCTGCTGTCACTGTCGTGGCGTTCCACATTCCTAATAACGTACAAACATTTGCAGTAAGACTTGAATTCAATGCATCTCCTCGAGACAAATATTAAAATAGTTCCAGAGCTCTTCCCATACAGCGAGCGTAGACGTTAGCGGCTGTGGACTGGAAGCCTCGAGTCTCCCAAGTCACTGATCCCAGTGCAGCAGGTCAGACGGAGGCGGCATAAAGAAGTAGTTCAGGTGTCTCCATGTCTGCGTAGCCACGCTGACATCAGGTGATTTTATCTACACGGGCTGTTGGTTTTAATCACAGGAGCGTTTTCAGCTTCAGTGTTCCAGTCAGTCATGTTTTTTGTGAGAAGCTGAAGTCGTGATCATGATTAATATTCGAATCAGTTCACAGCCCGAGGCACATGAAAATATTTCAGCATTACACGTCCCCACTTGTGCAGGACAGAACCTCCTGAGTAATGAAGACAAACTGGGCTCAACACCATGAAGTGTGTACACCTTAAGGTGACTGTTGGAAACCTGGACATGAAATGGACGTTTATTCTGACTAAATGTAAAGACGTCTAATGAATGATGATCTCTGCTGTCTCTTCCTGTGAGGTGAATGTTCTAACTCGGGTGTAGCTTACATGGAGTTTGCATCCAACTGTAAGTGAAGAAACTAATAAATTCAGTTTTAGTTTTAAAACAAGATGCCTCAAAGCACAAGCAGGTTCTCTGTCACTGTTTGCACAACACTTGGCAGCATGAAGGTTCAGTTTGACCCTTACTGACGCCACCACAGCGCCCTCCCTGTATGAGGAGTTCACAGCCAGAACAGAATATCGTCCAATGAGGAAAATGTCTGTTTTATTTTAATGCTTTGGCTGATTTGACACCAAGAGAAGCGCCAAATGTCATGTTGACTCAACCAGGAATTTGAACAACTGCCGTAGTTCCTCTGAATCACACTAATTAATATGTTACTTAAGTGATGCATTCTGTCCTAATCGGGGAGCGTAGAGCAGCTCGTTAGTCACATTTCATAGCTTAGAATGACAAATGTTTAATTTCCATCCCTGAACAAAGCCGGGCGGTGACGGTACTCTGTGGGAAGCTGCTTTACTGTTGCTGCTACCTGCTGATGCTGGTAAACAAACTACATTCCTGATGTTTTAACCAGTTTAGCCCTCCATGAAGCTCACACTGGAGCAGATACTGACATGCAGAGAAAGGTGGAATAAGAGTTAGCAGAGCTGTAATGCCATCTTAGAGCTGTCTGCTTTTCCTCACAGCTGTGGTGTGATTTGCAAAAGTCAACACGTTTTTAAATTGCTGCCTAAATATGCAGCTCGTGTCCACTCCTCTCTCAGCCACAAGGTGGCAGCATTGCTCAGATGATAAAGTAATAAAAAAGCATCTTTGGCCCAAAAGCCTGTCAGTCCATCACAGAAGAGGTCCATGTTCACTGCAGGCTGCTTGAAGATGAGCTTGACTGTCCCACACCACGCACCTAACTGATTTATTTTCTTGGTTACTTCAAAGTCCTGAACGGTCTGTTTGGTCCAGTTCAGTGTTCTGTTCAGAATGCTCAGTAGATCCACACTGTGTTTCCAGCAGAGCAGCTACCCCTGTGTTATCGGGTTTCTGATTGATTCCACAGCAGTGTCGCCATAAACGTTCAACAACTCACGTGATCTTCTGCTTCCTGCTTCCAGGGCTACGCACTGGTGGAGTATGAGACGTACAAAGAGGCCCAGGCAGCCATGGAAGGGCTCAACGGTCAGGACCTGATGGGCCAGCCCATTAGCGTGGACTGGGGGTTTGTCAGAGGGCCCCCCAAGAACAAGAGAAGGTGAGGGTGGTGTGTTTGTCTGTTTGACTGCATTAGCTGGAACTTGTGGATTCAAGGTCTTTCATTGGTCACAAACACAGTTGTACACGGTAGAACGCGCAGTGAAATGCCGCGTGTACCTGTTTCACACCTTAAAATAAGAATAAGGAATAAGACACACAAGAAATAAATAGATATACATATGAATGTAAATTAAATAAAAAATTACATAAGTAAATTGTGAATGAATACAGAAATGCAGAAAATGCTGCAGCTTCAGCACTATGCACATGTTTTGGTTGAGTTTCATGGAGTACTTCTGTTCCCACACAGCTCGTCATGTTTGTAACGTTGTCTAGATCCTCCTGATTTTTCTGCACGCTCTAACACAAACTGAATTTTGCTGTTGAATTTGTCATGCCACAGGGCTGGCGGGCGGAGACGCAGCAGAAGTCCAGACAGGAGGCGGCGCTGAGTGGAGGAGGTGTCTGTCACTTTGACTGGCAGTTCACCATCTTCTCATCTTCTCTGAAGAAGCTTATTTCTGAATTTTTGTACCATATTTTTGAGTAACAGTTGTACGGCACCTGCATGTAAGATCGCAAATAGTAAGATAAGGAATAACTAAAGCAAATGTGGCTCAACAGCAGCCTGTGCAGTTATTTCCATCTTGCCTGTGCTGCTTTGCAGAGCAGGAGGAAGACGTTTGATGTGTTAGTGAAGCTGTGTTTAGTTCCAGCTGTTTGTAGTACATGTTTGTGCTTCTCACAATTCCTTCAAAATGTTGTTTTCTCAACGTTACGTGCATTTTATTCTGCTCGAGTATTTTGTTTTATATGACTTGGGGAAAATTAAACTTTTAAAAGGTGAACTTGTGTCCTGTTGTGCTTTATTTAGCTGTGCTGGTGACGTAGGCTTTACATCATCCTGGATGACCTCACCCAGGCAGTGGTGACGCCCCAGCTATTTTGTCAACTCCAAAGCACCTGTCACTCCGGCCTCAGTGCCACACTCATAGGCTACTTGGACAAAACCCCTGGCCCGTATTTTCTGCAGCCAATTGCCAAGCGACTGTTTCATACTCTGTCCTTCTCATTTGGTGCTTACTCTACTGGGGAACATCAGTCAAGGTCCCCGAGCGCGCCCATTGGTTCGATCAAACGTCAATAACACGGCTCCTCTCTCTGATTGGCTGGTCTTCTCGGGGGCGGGCTCAAACCTTCGGTTGACGTTGTTGTTGTAAGTGCTGGAGAAATTACTTTGTCGGTGGTGGTCCGGTTTGGGATTTTACGCTTAGTTCTACCCACGAAGATGCTAAAAAGTTAGAAATCGGCCATTTGGGAAACGTTTATGATATTTACAAGCTGGCACTCGCAGGAAAACTAAATGGGACGATGAGAAGAACATCTGCGAGGCCGCTGAAGGTAAGCAGTAAAGGGATACTCCGGCTACAACCGTTAGCTAGCGCTAGCTGCCTGATTAGCCAGGCTCCAAGTAGCCACTTGCTAGCCAAACGTCACGGTTCGGTGTACTTACCGACAAATATACAACACTTGTTCGTGATGAGCGGTCGTGCACACGTCTGGCCGGCTCCACAGCGACAGCATCATGCTGTGTAGGTGCCAGTAAAGTTGGTGTGCTGTGTGTCCGCGGTGCATCAAGCCCATGCGTCTGAACGCCTAAATGCGTTTATGTAAGCATGTGTATTGTTCGCTGATATTTTGTTCACACAACAGTCATCGCCGTGTTAGCTGGCTCCGAGTCAGCACCGGGGACCAGTCATCCTCAGCAGCATGTAACCGGCCAACGGAACCGGTGGCTGAGCATTGCACTGGTTTTATAATCTGTCAGAAATAGCAGCGGTTTAAAGGTTAACACCAGCTCCTCATATGTGATGTATCTGCGTTTAGAATTAACTTCAGCTTCACCGAGAGCCGGCAGTCACGACCCACATCACCAGAACCCGTCTTTTATTTGAGGTGCATGTGTGATGTAACGTTCACTTAAAGCAGCAGCTTAGAGGAAATGGCCAGAAGTCGGTGTGTTTACAGTC